TAACAGGAAAATTATTCGGAATGCATCCATGTATTTCTTTATCATTAGTCTTTTCTTTTTTTTTAGATCAACTGGAAGAACCACCCTCAATTTGATTGCATGTTTTTCTCTTGATCGCTCAGCTTTTTCGTCGTTATGAGATACCAAAGATAGCAGTAAGTGTCATCGTTAATTTTATATCATCCTCTTAAGATAAAGCAAAATGTGGGAAAGCTTTTCATATAATGCTAAATTATCTTTAAGAACAGCTTTTCTTTGTTTTAGGTCAACAAGAATAATTACCAAAACGTTCGTGTCGTGCTTCGTCTCGTGAAGATTTACCTTCCATCCATCATCCAAATACCAAAGATACCAATACATAAGCTTGACTTATAATTTTACTTCATCTGTTATCGACTAGCGAATATTCGTTTAAAAGAGATTCTTCATACATGAATGTAATTTTTCATTGATAGTGTTTCCTATTTATTTAGATTAACACAATCAATGGATAAAATTTTGACATCAAGGCTTTCTCTTGATCCCTTAGTATTCTTTTAATGATTTGATGTCAAACATCAAATACATAAGTATCATTAATGATTTTAATTCATGCCTTTTAGATTGAAGAAAAGTTCACAGAGAAGATTTGTCAGGTATCTATCTCTTCTCTTTGTTTAAATAGCTTCTTTTTTTTCAGAAAAACCACCACAATGACTAAAGGTTTCATGTCATGTTTTATCTCTCGATGAATTATCTTCTGCTGATCTTCAAATACGGAACTTTAGTACGTAAGTATTATTTATATTTTTTTCTCTATTTCTTTTATATGCGAAAGTATTGCTCAAAAAGGATTCACCGTAAAGAAATGCAATTTTTCTTTACTACTGTCTTCTTATTAATTTTAATTAATACGACCAATGAAAAAAAGTTTGGTATCAAGTGTTGCTGTTGACCGATGGATATTCTTTCATCATTTGATGCCAAAAATATAATAAGCATAAGTATGATTAATATTTTCAATTCATCTCGTTTGTATTCAAGAACAATGCACCGAAAGAATTCTTCACGCATCAATTTATTCTTTTACTTTTTTCAAAAAGAGCTATATCTTTGTTTTTAGGTAAACAAAAACAACTACTAAAACTTATGTGTCGTATTTTATCCTTTAAAGATTTATTCTTCACTCATATTGAAATGCCGAAAATATCAATAGGTAAGTATGATTTATAATTTCATTTCATCTTTGTTATATTCAAAAATATTTAAAAAATATTCTTCTTATGTGAATGTAATGTTTCATTAATTGTGTTTTCTTGCTTATTTAGATCAATACCACTAATGAGAAAAAGCTCATCACTAGGTGTTTTCTCTTTATTGAGCAGGATTCTTTCATCGTTTGATGTCAGAAATAAAGTTCATAAGCACATTATTAATTTTAATTCATGTTGCTGATACTGAAACAATATTCATCAAAAAAGATCCCTCAGATGTGAATCGATTTTTTTATTAAATATCTTTTTCTTATTTTTCAGATCAACAAGAACGACTACTAAAACTTCTGTATTGTGTTTTTCTCTCCGTCAATCAATGTATGTGTCTCTCGTATGTTTTGAGAAACGAATCACTAAATATAACTGGCGACTTTAGCTACTTTTTGCAGTTAGAAAATTCACGAAAATTCCTTTCAATATATTATCGTTTTTTTTCATTAGTGATCTTTTCCTTTTTGTTTAGACCTGCGAGAACAACTGCTCAAATATCGATGGAGAACTTTTCTTCTCAACAAGCTGTGCTTCAATATACCTTTTCAACAACTTAACGTCTTTTGCATCAGTAAAGTTATGAAAAATTTCTTTTGTAATATATCGCAAAATTTGCTTTTAAAGTCTTTTTGTTTTTTAGATCGACGAAAACAAGTACACAGAAACTCCATTGCCGAGTTGCTATTTTTATCAATTCAGTTTCCGGTCATCTTCGAATATGCAACAAAATGATATATAAGTATAAGTTGTAGTTTTGCTTTATGCTTTTATACTCAGAGAAAAATTCTTTGAAAAGGTTCTCTTGTATCAATAAATGTTTTTGTAATTCGTTTCTTTTGTCTGTTTAGACGATGAACGACAGCCACAATCAGGGTCATCTGTTATTTCTTTATTTTTCAGGTTCTGTTCAACTTGTGCTTCTCAACAAACTGATTGGATATGTATGATTAATAATTTTACAGCAAGTGGTTTCCACTGAGGAAAGTAACGACACATATTCTCAATACGTTGTTCTTTTCAGATGATTAATCTTTTCTTTTTTAGATGAGTACGATTATCTTTCAATAGTGTCGCAAAGAGTACTGTTATAAATGGATTTGTTTTTAGGATCGTCATGTACTGTTCACCATCATGAGGGGTAAGTTTGATTTATTATTGTAACTAATTTTTTTTTCTTTGTGAAAGTGTGTCAAAAAAAATTTCATATATCAAACTATTATCTTTTGTCTATGGATTGCTTGGGTTTTGTTCCATTGAACAACGAGAAAGAAGAGAACTGAGGTTTCGAAAGTTTTTTCCCAATAAGTTGATTTTATCCCATATATTCTTGCGTGTAACACACGAAAACATGGCTATGATTGTACATTGTATTTCACTTTATTTATTTCAGGGAAAGACGTAACTCAGATAGGTTTGTGCACATATAGGTATATTTATGTTTTCTCAGAAGGATCTGTTGTCTAACTAGATCCAGAAGAAGATTTACCAAGACTTGTGATTAGAGTTTTGTTGCTTAAGAGATTATTTCTGATTCATATAGCAATATCAGCAATTGAAATAGGCTACTATTATTCTAAATTACAAGTTTTGCCCATTTTATTAAGAAAACTCATTAAACAAATTGTATAGATACTAATGTAGGTTTGAGTTGCTCTAGTTTTTACACCCTATGTTCATCATGAAGACGAACGTTCATGATGTTTTCCACCTGTTCGTACTTTTCAATTGGGTGCTGGTTATCGTCTACAATGCAGAGGAAGTCTCAAGATTGAAGAATCAATTGGTATTTAGAAGATTAGGGTTTAATATTAGGTATTGTTGTTGAAGCTATGTGTTAGAGCTATTGCACTGTATTTACTCAAACAGGATGCTTGATTTGAATGATGTTGAAGAATCTGTTATGTTTATTATATTGATTAATATTTACTAATTCTAATCTTTTCTTTATTGAGATATGACTTTCCAACTTCTTGTGTGAATCAATCTGGCTATGATTATCAAATGAAGCTTTGTCACATATAAGTGAGTGTGCTCTTTATTTTTTTGTTTTAGCTCTTTTTATGTTGAGAGTGATTTATGTCAAGCAGTGCTTTCAATTGATTGAATTCATAATAACTTTTTCATATAAAATGAATTATTATATTGGTATTATTAGTAATGTCTTTGGTAAGAAAGTAGTAGTCTGTTAATTAATTACTGATTTTTCGTTTAGATTTGGGTGAACAACGTCTTCGAAGAAAATGAATGATCTTCTAAATGGAATCTGCTCATTCTCTCTAAACCGATCTCAACAGCAGAGTCAACCGCGAGTATTAATTCAGGTGAGTGAAGCTCTTGCGTAACTTCGTAGACGAAAGCAATAAATAGATCAGGAATAGGATCATCAAGTATCTATGACTGTGAAGAGGGCTATTTTGATACTTCTAAAAGTTCAAGATCTCGTAAAAGTTTAGATGAGCATTAAGGCATTACGCAAAAATCATACAATAATCTTACTGTAGCATTTTATGGGGGTTTTGCGACTTTTCATTAGACTCATTCCGTCGTCATGGAAATTTTTTGTTCCTTTAGAGAACCGTGCAATCAGTTCTCATAAAACCTTTATAACATCATAGAAAGCTTGATAGTGAGCTTCTAAGTTACTTAGTTTCCTTTTGGTTTCACTATTCTCTGTCTGACGTATCTAATCCAAATTATTTAAACAGAAGATTTCGTTAAATCAACTGTATATTCTATATTCTTCTTTGATTGGCTAGATTTCGATATATCCATAGAGCCATCTCCCGCTTTTCTAGCTTCACTTCTTTCTAAGTGAGTTTAGATCTGATTTCTCAGATTGCCAAATTCGGACACGAATAGTAAGAAAACTGCAAATTTATAAATAATAGCAAACAAGCATTTCTGTCAAACTTCGACAAGTCCGACATTCTCTCGTTCCTGGTCGTATGTGTCCATCATTAATGATGAAAAGAATCTCCTCTACTCAGTCACTCATCGAGGTCTGAAAGTAACTGATAATACTCTTAAGTAACTCGAGATACATTACCTTGTAGCTCAGTAGCTATAATTGAAGTCAATCATCCTTCGCATATACCTTTTGATAAACCCTTGGGCAAGTTGAAGAGGTCCATCAACCCTCTCATATACCTTTTGATAAACCCTAGATAAGTTGAAGAGATCCATCAACCCATTCATATACCTTTTGATGAACCCTTGGGTCAGTTGAAGAGATCCATCAACCCATTCATATACGTTTTCATAAACCTT